ATTTTTCAACATTATTTTCTTTCAAGCATGCTTCTTGGTTTAATTTAACTTCTCCAAACACACTGACTCCTTCAAGTAAGTTTCTTTTATGTATATCATCATCATTTTGATGATCCAAGCATCACAATATACTATTAGAAGGATTGATTCTGAAGGTGAATTATGTCATAGCAACCATATCATGGTAATTGCTCCATTATACTCCAATCCCAGTGGAACTACTCTTCCCACATCTAAATCTATATCTCATACATCGAAGAGTGGTGCCAAAGCAGTTTGCTGAAGCTGCTGCGTTTGTATTATTGGAACAGTTTAGCTGGTCATTCTTTGAAATCAAATCCATCCTCATTCTTAAAGTACGTGGAAGTGGATCAGATCTTGTAGGTAACAGTAGATGTACTGTTGGCTCAAATATCTTTTGTTGTTTTTTTTCTTAGTCATCCTAATTTCTCTTTCCTCTTTTCTTTTTCAATCCTTATTTCTTTTTTTTTTTCCAATCAGAGTCATGATTAAATAAAATCCATCATAGAAATCATTTGTGCCAAGTTGAGATTGATAATAAGATTAAGCATATGGTATAAACAAAATTAATCGTGCCAAACGATCAAAGATTACAGTGTGGACCAAGTTATAGTTGTGGACAAAATTGGTGACATTATAATCAGATTTCCTATCCAAAAATTTAAATTGTTAGATTATGAGATAGACTCGAATATATATCATTTGACAATGTAGGAGATTATTCTCTTAGTCATCTTTATTGATATTCTCTTTATAATATCTTCTAACATTCTTTTCCGATTTATGTGTTATTCAATTATCTACCCCTTACTTATAAGGGTAGTTCAACTTTGTTCGTAATCATAATTTGTTCGACGGTATAAATCATTTGACTTGGCATATGATTAATATTTTTTACACTCGTTTTTCTTATTTATGAATTTGGCTTTGATATCATGTTAAAAATCTATTAACGATAAATGAATCAAATATCAGAAGATATTCATATATGAGTAGAAGATTAAAAAAAATTAAAACAATAATTTTATATTAATAAATATTAAAAAAAAATCGAATGATATATATTTGAGTCTAGCTCGTAAACGTGACTTGTAGTCGTCATCGATGCTCATCTGGATTTCCAATTAGTAGAAGAAGATCCGAGCTTAGCTACCCACCAATCATGGCTGCTTCTTCTCGTTCTTATTCACTGCTTCCCTGCCTTGTGATAGGCTCCACCGGAAGACAAGAATGCACTAAAGAAAGGAAAGCCGATCAAGAAGAGAGAAATTATTGGCTGTAATAAAATGACAAGCCCATCTTTTGGACTCACCACCATGCAAAGGCAAAGCAAAGTTGCCCCCTGCACACCTTTAGTTGATGATGATGCTGAACTGGAACACCACTTAGCTTTAGTAGAAAGGAGCAGCCACCGCACAGTCCGCAGTAGTTTGTGTTGGTATTACAATGTTCTGCAAATTGCAGTCCTACATCCGAAAAATAAGGCAATAATTCAGGAAGAAATGGGTTTCGTTACGCAAGAACGACTTGTCCTGTAAAGAAGTGTGCTCAATGAATCAGCTCAATGAATCTTGTAAAGTAGAGCAGATGCACTTGGAAAAGAGCATGGCAACTTGGCCTAATAAGAAGACACAACAAATGGTTGAGTGAGAGAGCTCGAGAATAGACATCCAAAAGACTCCCCATACAACAAGCGTAGAAAAGGAACTCGAAAGAAGCCATTCCCTACTGAAAATTGTACTTGCTCAAAACAACAATGAAACTTTTGCGACACATCATGTCTTGTTTGCACAATATATGTTCTATACTTGCAGAAATAAGAGGCCAAAATGGAATTATATTAAGAGATCCAAAAATCGAAAGAAAATCTTCTCTCTCTATCTAGACTAGAGATGGGATTAATATGTGAATAAGTTTAAAATGATTGTCATGGTTTCTTTCACAACCCTCTCCCCCTTTAAAACAAAAAAAAACAATTGTCATCATCCTTTGTGTACCATCATCATTTTCTTGAGTTAATTAAGGCTCGGGCTTAAAACTTCTTTGTATACCACCATCCTTTTTACATAAATATGATAATATTTATATCAAAGATTATTGTATTATCTGAAATGAAATAAGTGGTACGTATCGATCCAAACGTGGATAGGTACATGGATTATTCCTATTTTCGATAATTTGATCCAAATCTTATATAAAATAAATAAATTCGTCGTCACGAGACCTCACCCGTTGATGTTCTCGTTACATTCCCTCCTCTTTTCCTCCCGTCCATCATTCCATCTTTTTTCTTCTCCTCCCTCCTCAATTGCTTCCCCTTCTTTCTTATTTCTCCCATTCATTTTCCTCCTTCGTTCCACTGCCCTTTCATCTTTTTTCTCTTTGAAATATCAATATATATATCAGTATACTGACACACAATATACTAATACTGATCGGTATGTATTAGTCTGAACAGATCATTGAAATGGATCCGATACTTGAAATGATGATCTTTGATTTATATCATTTTCTCGGCTCCTTTCTTACCAAACTCGAAAGATAAATGTGATATTTATAAAATAATAAAATCTTATTTTTCATACTTTTAGATGTTGATTATCATTAATCTTGCCTTGGCAAGGTAGGATACAATAATAGAGTCATGAGCCTTATAAGCACCATTGACTTGGCTAACAATTAGTTGAAAATCATTGTATAATTTCAGTTATAGTATTCTCATGCCTTTAGTAAGCTCGAACTATAACAAAACAGCTTCATATCTGTCTCACTGTTAGTAACCTAAGAGTTGAAACATAGTATATGCTTATGCTTGTAGACATCCCCTTTCAGGCTTTTCAAGACAATGGCCATCCTTTGACGAGGGCCATACTTTGATGATAGTCTTTAGTTTATAAGAAATGTTGAATTCACTAAGTTCAATTGCCTATTTAAAGAGCATTCTCATGGGATCGAGCTTAATAAGAATCCGATGCATTGACTGATTTGCCATGATAATGATATGATGAGCCTAGAAGTATGGTCAAAATTTTCAAGCTATCAAGATCAACCTGTAGGTCGGATCGTAAAGAAATACGTATCGAATAATGTGTTTAACTTAGAATGTGAATAAGGGTGGTGAGCAACTAAATCTGTTAGTAATAGCGAGCAAAAGCATAAAGAGAAATACAAACTAGATTTATAGTGGTTCGATTGTCTCGACCTATGTCCACTCTCGATTCCTCTTCCCTCGAGCCCATTGACTTTCACTACCGATTTTCTTTTCAATGAGTGAATATCAACTATCCTTATTATAACTCTTTGTCATTTTTACAGGCTTAGGAGAGAACCTTCACACCTCTCTTTTATAAAAAGATCTCATATCTCCCTCAGAATGACTTCTAAACTCAAGAAGGAAGAGATTCAACACTTTTCAAGAGAGTTTACATACTTAAAATCATAAGTTTTCGTGCTTTTACTAAGCAAGAATGAGTGGGGCATTTATAGACCCTAAATAGCTTCAAAAATGAAGCCAAAATTTTAAATCTTTAGGTTTTCAGGGTACTACCGCTTTTGCCGAGTGATACTACTACTTGACAGAGATTGTAAACTAGGGCATTAGTGGTACTATCACTTAACATTCTAGCGGTGCCACTGTCTGCCTAGGCAGTACCATCACCTAGCAGCTTAGGAACCTAGGCTCTGGTAGGATCGTCGCTTGCTTGGACGGTACTATCGCCTAGCCTAACTCCAAATTATTGAATTGGCCTTTTAATAGGCTCAATTCCACCCTAGTTTAAGCCTAATTGACTTCTAATTAAGTTGACATGATTATGGCCCAAAACCAACTCAATTAGACTCCAAGTCATTTCGATCAAGATTTAACTACTCTAATTACAATCATGAAGCCTTCAGCACGTTGTCCAACATGTCATCTGTTCATCCGACATTTCGCCCAAACCTTCGGTGTATCGTCCTTTCCTTCGATGTATTGTTCGATCCATTGACATGCCGATCTCCCATAACATATGATCTTTTTGGCGTAATACTAAATCTTTCTGACCCGATACCTGAACTCATAGCATGAAGTCTATCCTTTGACATGTCAACCAATCTTTCGACTTGACATCCAATCTTTGACATGATGCTCTCCGATCCAACGTTTGATTCTCCTACTTCAACGATTTGCTTTTCGATGGTTCAAGTCCATGATCAAAGTTTTTCATACGTTACTTATCTCAAAACGCTTATTAGTCCATAAACTTATCAATTGAATTCATCATCAAAATTCTAACATATAGGCTTTTCGATAAGGACAAATATAAATAAGCAAAACATAAGTACAAATATAAATAAGCAAAACATAAGCACCAAAATCAGAAAACTATTAGGAAAGTTCTCACCAAAACATAATCACTTCTTATAGACAAGGAAAAATCAGCAGCTTTTCATGAATGTAATTTTTTTTCTCGATTTACTATATATTTTTAAAATTTATCTCTTGTATATTAAAATAAATTCACGACTTGGCAATAAAATTTATCCCTTTCTTTTATGATTCTTATTTTAATTTTTCCTTCAAATCTACTGGGCTCTTAATATCTAAGTTCTCTTTATGGTTTCTCATTATTGCTGCTATTATCATAGAACTTCCATCATTTTATTCATGCTTACCTTATACAGAAAACATTACATCTTTATCCCTGATTTAATTAGATATTGTGTGATGTATATTCATTACATATATTTCTTCTTATCCTTTTCTCTTTTCTTTGAATCATTTGTTCTATCTAGGCAGGACTCTTTGAACAAAGCGGGTTATACACGACATCTGATATGTTAGTGTATTATATTATATAAGTGATAAGTTTCAGCTTCGAGTCTATATGAAAATGTTATGTATGTCTTTTAATATTTTTTTTTTTATTTTTTAAAGAGAGAGAGAGAGAGAGAGAGAGAGAGAGAGAGAGAGAGAGAGAGAGAGAGAGAGCACTCAAAACTTTCTTTAGCAAAGACATACAATACATTTATTTTGAAACCATTGGCATGTTCAAAACCCTAACTATGTCATTTGATCAAGTCCCTAAAACATATATGGTCTCCCATCATACAACAAACAGATATGAATAACAAGCACTAAACCATTACCACTAAACACAAAGGTGATACAAAGGCACAACAAAAGAGTTAGTTGATGATGTGCTTCATTTCTCCTGCCACCTCTATTCAGTAGTCTAATTGTTGCTTGAGGTAGGTTTTTTGGGCTCTCCACCTGCACCAAACGTACACAAACTCATTGCTCACCAATGCTTGGAACTCTTCCCAACTTTAAGCATGTAGTTTCACATAACCACACCTGTATCATTCCTTTTTGGACTGGGAGCAATGTAGAGTTTCTTCACTGATGTAATGAACAACCTACACAGAGAAAATTATACTTGAATTATGTTCCATTCCCATTTGATATTTTCTCAGAAGAGTCAGGAAAGAGAGCCCAAAGTTACATACTCCCAGGGGATGTCACCAGCAAGCATCTGATCACCTTCATTATCTTCATAAAGAAGAATGAAGCCATCATCAACAGCCTCATCATCTTGCTCTTCTGAATTGCCTAAACAATTAGCTGAAAAAAAAAGGGGATAAAAAATGAGTTATGATTGGTTCTTAAAAATATCCGGAAAATAAAAACTCAAAAGAACAATTTTATCATTTAAATCTCTTTTTATTCAAGATTTGTTGCAAATCTTTAAAAAAAAAAAAAACTGTAGAAACTCATCAAGTTTTTCAAATGAAAGCTTCAATGAATGTACTATGATGAGACTGAGACACATCAAAATGTAAGTAGAGATGAATAATGTTATATGATATTAACAGAAACCTGCAATGTTTGGTGAAACAACAAAAGAGAGAATTGAGTTCTTTCTATTCATTTCTGAAACCAAAAGATTATATATGTCAAAAATCTATATTATATTAGCATCTCAAATAAAGTGCAGAAACATAGTTTGAAACACAGGTGCATGAATAAAAGCCAAGATCTAGCGAGAGAAGGAAGAGGCCATAAGACCTATCGACGACGGACTCATGCAAAGCATGCAAGATCGAAGCCTAATGCATCCACAAGGGGTCACGTACAGGAGAGGAAGTTGCGGAAGAGTTTGCAGAGGGCACGCGAGAGTGACTGGTAGCCATCGTGGGCTTTGAGGTCGATCTTCCTCCCGAACACGTACCCTTCCATGTTCACCTTCACGAACATCGTAGATCTCGATCTGATTTCGCTCTTTGCTGCCTCCCCCTCTCCCAGCTTCGGTCTCTTTGCATCCTTCTCTCCATCCATCTCCGCCGCCCTCACCAAGTTCGCACTCGCTATGTTCTTTCGCGAAGCTCGCACCGGTGGCCAGCCAACAGGATGCGCAGCTCTGATAGCAGAAACAGTAATCCATACAGTAAAACGCGAGATCATATGAAGCTCATGATAACATACATCAGAAGCGTAACACATGGGGTAGATCGTGGGTGAGAAGAGAGAAGGGTAATGGAAGTCAACTGACAGGTAGAAGGTGAAGATCCAGTGAGCAACTACAGCAAAATCTGAACAAGCAATAATGTAGCAACCCATAACAGACGCCATCACACATGGCTTGGCTTCTGACCATCTGTTGACTTTGTCAGTATAGCTACTCAATGAAAGAGAAGAAAGAACTATGAGTGTGCCAGTAGTATCTCCAATAGTAATTAGATTACGTAGTTGACGACACACTATAAGAACTCTATACACGCGTATCCTGGTAACCCATCTTCCCAAACTAGACCGGGTTTGAGCCGGGTTGTCAACCAGATCCCGGCTCGACCGGACTGACATCCCTATGATGTCATAAATCCTTTGTATTTTAATGCAGAAGGAAAAAAATTGAGGAATAAAAAGTTGGTTTTTTCCGGTTCTGCATTCTTTATTCGCGGTCCGACCAGTTAAACCAGCCGGTCCGGTCCGGTTCGGTTTTACAATGTACCAAAAAATTTTACTGCTGTCTCGGTGGAGGTCAACTATGATTACATGCATATCCCTCTGGTGGTCCACTGCTCCTCAGGGTCTACTCATTGCACCACCAGTTTGCCACTCATTCTAATCTGTCCTCCTTCGGACAACCATCATGAAGAACAATCCATTGCGAATGGAAAGAGAAGCGCCAACCATCCCAACTAATCATTGCACGTATGTGAAACAAATCCAGTTGCATCTGCTATGAAGATTCTATCCCTCATTGACTAATTAATAGTAATTAGCTAACAAGAACAAGATCATAATAATTGCCGCACAACATTGTTCATCCTTGCAGAACTGCATGCACGAGCATGCATGGAGATGGAGGACGAGGAAGAGGAGCAGAAGCTTGTACCAACCTTGTCAAAGAAGGAGAACGGTGGGCTTGCTCGAGGACCGCCTTCTGTTGCCGGGCAGCAAGGCTCCATGGGTGAACGAATCCACTGTGGATGTCAGCTGCAGACCAGCGCTTCATGGCCTCGACAAGACTGGCCTCGTCACTTCGGTGCAACGCAAGGTCACCGATGGGAACTGGGAATGCTGCGGGTAGCTCACCGGAACCACCGCGGTGGCGCTTCTCACCAACTCTGCCGGTCGCGACGTTGAAGATGGTGTCTGAAGAGATGCCAAGACTGAGCTCCAAGTGGCTTTGGAGGCCACTGGCTGCTCTCATGGCTTGACTGTGATCATCTACTGCTCCTCCCTCCTCCTGTCTTGTGAAACGAGGTTCGAACAGCATGGGCTTCATGATCGATCTCCACTGGAGAGGGAAGGAATGAGGTTTGTGGGGGATGGGACGAGGGAAGGGAAGAGTTCCGCAGAGCTGGAAGAGGTGCTTCTTTATAAGATTTTTGATGGTTGATAGAACATAGAGAGGAGGGTCAACTGTAGATACTGTTGATTTGGAAGGATGGTGTCTTTGTTGGAGCTTTCAAATACCGACTATAGTATTGGCTTTTCTTTTTCCTACAAAGTCAAAGAATTTACTCTCTCTCTCTCTCTCTCTTTCTCTTCAAAGCTTGGTTTGGTTAACAACGCTATAGGAGATCATTTGATCACTAATCATTGCGGCTAGACCTGCAGTTGTTGCTCGGTCAACAAGTGGTATGGCGCTACAAAGCTGCATTAAGGCAGGGAAGTGAAGCGTGATGTACTCATGTCGGGAAGGGTTGCTTATGACCTGCAATTTCCAACAAAGCTTGCTGTTAGCTAAAACCAATCATTACCACAACAACAGAGGCAGATTAAGTACCGATGGTGAAGGAGGGGAGACCCTCCCTTTCTCGAGCGAAGTATGGGTTGGGTTGGAGATCTGCGGCTCATGATGGCAATGATGCATCATATCTTCTTCTCTCGTGATACCTCCGCCCAGAAGCCACTGTTGCTGCATGCTGCAGAAATCTTTGCTGCTATCTGCTATCTCTTCTTTCGATTCTGACCTTTTAGAGAGATGCAAGAGTTGTCAATCCATGATGAGATGTGGCGTTCCTTTTTGCTAACCCAAGCATTATTATGAGATAAACTTCCTATCATTCTGAGAGTCTCAGTACTTGTCAATCCTTGTTTAATGTTCCCAGAGTCATACTAAAGTACATTGCTCTCTTGTTTTACAATCGACTAACACACGTGATTGCGACCGCAAAGCTATGATGTACCAAACATGCACTGATGGCATTCTTGAGATCCACAGGTGTTTAATGAGATGAATTTGAAATTGCAGGTAAGAAAAGATTTGTGAGCAAAGCTAGCCATAAAGTGGTGAGTATATTCAGAATAATAACCTTTTCTTTTCTTTTTTCTTTGGCTTCTTGTCTTGTAGACTGACATGACAGAACTAATGAAGCACTTCAAGTGGAAAAGATCACTCACTTCCTGTGTGGATCACAGGTAGGAAGGATTGAGATGATGATGGTGAAGAGATGAGAATGCTAAAGTGCAAAGGTGTGTGTCATGATCACACACAAATAGGGGGGGGTGGCCATCTAAACTACCCTACAACCATCATCACCTTCAAGCTTTCTTGCTTTTACATAGGTCCCCAACGCATCCTCAGTGCTAAACCGATTCATCTTTTCTTTCCTTAAACAAACAACTGTGGATGAATTCTTCGCGGTGCAGAAAGTTGAGTCAGGCAGGCATGCATGCAGACCTCTACTTGTGATCTACAGATCTTTTCTCCCTCCTTTGTTTCTCCCGTCTTTATCTCACGGGGTGGGGAGGAAAGTTTAACAGATGGTGTAGAAAGAGAGGAGACATGTTAAAGGAGAGAGTGAAGGAATTAAAGTTGTTCATAAAGGATAAATTTAAGTATTACTTTGAACCTTTAACTAGCCATTAAAGTTGATCATGAAAGCTGGAATATATGTCACCCAAAAAGAGAAAAAAATAATAGAAGAACTTTTAGGAGCTATATTGATCCTAACAATTTGATAACCCATCCCCAATTTAGTTAAGTCAATGGCTTTAAAAGAAGAAATTCTATAATATGATGATAATATGATGGTGAATAGTTTAAGTGGAAGTATGAGAAGACTATGGTGATAATTTTGTCATGAACGTAGAATTAGTATCATCAAAACCTATCCTTGAATTTCAATGCATTAATATATTTTCTGATTGCAAGCCAAATATCAATTTCAGGACCCGGTATCCGAAAATAAAATTATAAGAAGCGGATAGAATACCTTTTTGTTGAATTTCTGGTTCCCGTTTGTCTTCATCGATTTGAATCCTTGCATGAATCAACCTGATGGCGCTCCAGCTTTCACCTGGAACCCCACTAATTCTTGTGTCAAGTTAGCTTTGTACAATATGGATTAACTATTGAGATGAAAAAAACATCAATTATTGTTGACAGAATGGACTCCAGTGAAGCACAAGCCCCACATCCAACAATGATCATCATGAACCTTGGCGACATGTTTGTGTGCCGCTCTTAGGTGAAGAGAAAGTAGCAGCAGAAAAAGGAGAAAAAAAAATGTTACCCGTGAAGCCATCATTTGAATCAAAACTGCACTGCCAAAAAGAAGAATATGTGCTTTTATCTCATGCAGCAGTGCAGTGTCTTCCTTTTTTTTCTTTGTTCACTGGACCTGAGAAATGAAGGGCATTTCAATGCCTATCCTTAACTTCCTTTCATTTCCCTGCTTTCTTCCTTTTATGGATTTCGGACATCGGCCTCTTTTCGTTCCAGCTTTCCAGCATTTATTGAAGGCCTAAGAAACATACAACACACATTATTACATCAGTTCAAGTTAGTGAAATTCGATGATTAGAAGAGGGGAACACAAAGCAAGTGAGATTTTTCTTTTCACACAATGTGCTAGAAAAATCAGGGTTTTCAAGGATCATATGCAGACGGCAGACCAATTCCAGATATTCTTTTCAAACCATGAACAATTGATAAGTTCAAATTTTCTTATTTTTCGTGTAGAATTATATGTTATTAAGGTTAAGAATTGTGTCATAAGTCATAGCTGGTTCAGGAACTTCTTGATAAAGAGCATTCGGTACCAAAAATACTACTGTGTTGAATGCAAGTCGAGCAAACATGCTGTGGCCTACAAATAGACGATGTGGAGAAATGGATGAAGAATCATTCTGAGAATTCAAGAAAATAGTTTTTGTGTAGATCTCATCATTATTGGTGAAACTACATTTTCAATGAGATTTACAAATTGAATCGACTGTTATCTCATGAATAGTAGATTTGCAAATATCTTTTTGATCAAGGGATGGGCAATTTGACATTTAGATTTGGTAGCTGTTTCCATATAAACCAAGATATGTAGATCGCTGCCCTTCGTAATGCATACCTTGACTCTAAAATGCTACTAATGAAATGGCCATGATGAGTATATATATTCTTACCTATCATGAAGCAGATCATCACTGTAAGAGAATTGCTTGTCACAAGACATGATGACGTTTGGAATCTCTGATCCATCACAAGGCACTTTATGATGACTGCTTCAAATATTCAGTTAATCTGCTTTGTCCAAAAAAAAAAAACAGTTAGTTTTACCATTTTTTTGGGCTCAAGACAGACAAAGAAAAAATTCTTCATAAAGTTCTTACCTGGAATCTCATGTTCACTCCAGTACTCTGTATCAAATACACATCAATAATTAGAAAGCAAATTAAATAATTGGGTACTGATCCAATCTGAGTTCTTTAATCAAAGACGAATTAAACAAATCAGTGCAATCTGAGTTCTTTAATCAAACACCATCTGTTGCAACTGAACCTACCGATACTATTCCATTGCTACTTCTCAAGAACTAAACATGTAATGCATTAGCGCTGCAGCCTAATGTATCCATGTACGATCAGCAGCAACACACAGATAAGTTACTCGGGAACGAGTTAGCATTCAACAATAGATGAACATGGTGCGATTTGTAGATTTGTAGTTTAGAAACAATTGTATTTAATATGGTATATTATACAGCAAAAATTTTACTTGATCAAAGAATGATACAAAAACTATTTTTGCATGGAAATGATTGAGATTCTCTAAATCAGTCGCCTAAGTTAATTGAAAGGTATACAAGATCCTGAATCAAGACTGCTGAAGCAAATAAACAACCTCTTCCTTTTGTTTTGGATGCTTCCTCTCGCAAGCATCACCTAGAAACCACAAACAAAAGAGAACACCCTTCTAGCATATTGTGTATTCCACCTATTCATCTTCTACTTCTCTAGACACCCTTGAATGCAAACTCTGTAATTCCAGAGAGATATTTGGCTGATTAATATATCAGTTACCATGTGTTTCAGAGTAAAACTCTAAAAACTCAAGAAAAAAGGCAAGAAATTCAAAAACACTAAGGTCACCCACAAAGTTTGATACTGATGTGAATGGACAAACCAAACCTCAAGAACAAATTATACAGATGTTCACCATGTTGCTGCAGCTGCACCACTGGGCCATGCATATACGTCAAGCGGTACAAGAATGGATATGATACATGAAACAATGATGCATTATGCAAAAACACTTTGCTCTGAGTAGTCCGATTGAGTAAGTACAATCTTCTTCAACATAACATGTAAAAGATAAATACGAATATACATCTGAGAACTGGTCGAATATTATTCTTCCTAAACAACGTTTCAGATGATTTCACGTCGAAAAATACGAACCTCAAGAAGTCCACCGACGCCTCTGTAGTTGGGCTGCTTCTGGAACCCTGAGATCGCGTCCCAATACACTCTACTGCGACCAAGAAACTCTTCACACCAGGGTTTCGATCCGCAACCCTCCTCTTAGAACTCGGCAGCTTCTGCAGTTCTTGCGGGGAACCCCACGACAGCGTCGCCAGTGACGGGTCGTCGCCGTCGTCCATCGCCGAGCGGGATCACCTTCTTAGGACTTTGGAAGAGGGCTCCGTTTCGGCCCAAGCCCAAATGCTGGGGTTCATCAAGCCCATCTATGTGCTTTATTTATTTGGGCAAAATAGTAATTATAATTTAGAGCTTATAATAATTATTATTATAATTTATAGCCAAAACCAATGAGAATTCTTCCCAAGAAAAAGGCTGCGTGAGAGTAAACGAAGTCCAAAAATCCAATGAAAATAATAAATAATAAATAAAATCAAATGCATGTTATGATCAATTGGTTGTGAAGATTTAAGGTGGAATAATAGGCAACATTTATACGTAGGTAAAGTATCATTGCTAAAAAAGGTCTAATTTGAATATAAACATATTAAAAATATAATAATGATAACAAAATTATATGATCATTACCATCATCTTACAGTTACTCAATTGTGAAAAATTGAGATAAAATAAACAATAAAATATGTCCTTCACCTAATATCCAAAGTCATTAGGCTCAAGTATCATACTTAGATTGTGTCAAATATAAATATAAATATCTTAAAATTCAAACAAAAAGAATAATACCTTATAGAATTACTACTATCATGTTGTGGTTACTTGATTGTGAAAATCTAAAGCAAATTACACACAAAAAAAATATATAGTTGAACCATAATTAACGACATTACACTCAAAATAGAAGTTCATTCTAAAAATATGTCAAACCTAAATATAAATTAAAATAGTAATAAATTATAAAATTACTATTGTCATGTTATGGTCACTTGATTGTTGCACCACCTGAGTATTTGGTATATTTTAAATATGATAATGATGAAATCATTGTTGTCGTATTATGATCTTTCGATTATGTGAATTTAAGATAATTTGGATAATAAAATATGGTACACTCAAATAGCTATGTGAATAAAATATATTATTACACTAATTTATTATAATTTATTTGTTTTTCAAGTAATATATATTTAGTTAAATATTTAAGTGTAACAATATTTAACTATAGTACCCTGGAATCCCTCAAGTGAGACAAGATTGGACGGATGTTTTCGCAGCTCATCAATGGCTTGCGTGATCAAAAATGACTTATTTTGACTATTTTTGGGTGCTACAACGATCGTGACAAGGGACATAAAGCGTCAACCATTTTTGAGATGGAATGCTTGCAAATATAACAAGCTTTATACTCACAAATAATTGGTAATCTATATTGTATCACGAAACAGAGAACTAACTTTAGCTAAACAAATATATGTTCAAGTAAAATTCATAGAAGAAAAAGAATACCAGAAATACAAATTTTGTTATCATGTTTTATGAGGTTCAAGGATGTCAAAAAGAATAAAATTAAGATGATCACAAGGCAGAGTTTTTTATAATATCTTCACTTTTAAGCCTATTTTGTACAAGGATCATAAACTTCCACCTTTCTGGAGTCACCAAAATCTCAACAGAGATTCCTATCAGCAAAGCTTGATTCAACGTCACCATGGTACGCTTCCAGCCACAATAAATAAAAACCCAAAAATCACTCAAAACTTAGCATACTAGCATGCTTAGGAAAGAATAATAGGCGTGAAAACAAATGAAACATTTTGACATTAGAACTGTGAAGTACAGGAATCTCCGGTCATACTTCACCCTCACAGGAGGAAATGCTGAAATCTGATGTCGTACTATCGGTCACACTCAAAACTTGGCTATCAACCCATGAATGATCGACAGATAAAACCTGCATTAGATTCGAAGGACACAAAGGATTTAAGCAAGCCCCGAGCTACAAAAACGACTAATGACCAGAAAAAGATTTCAAGCAAGGAAATCAGCATCATATAATAAGATCACAAACAAAAAGTAACTATAATTTTTAGCTGTTTGCTTCAATTCAAACATCCATATGAGCAAGGATATCAGATCTCAAAAAGCTGGCAAAGTTCACGAAATCATTCAAATGTTATCCAATCAGAAAGGTAAGAAAGGTAAGAAAGGAATTAGAAAGAAGCTTATCTCTCAACTTTTCAGAGGGATAGGAAAAACTTTACCTTTTATCATTCACCCCTAGCAGATTGATTGTCCACCAGCCTTCGAAACTGCGCTGCGAGTTCTCTGTAAAATTTGAGATCTGATGGCTGGACACGACTAATTCCGAACTTGAAATGCACCATTGATATTTCAGATATCTCCAAACTCTCCTAATGAGGTTTCACAACATTCATGTCAGATCTTAAAAAAGACATTGCCACATCAGTTCTCACATTAATAATCTCTGTCTTGATTAAAAAAGTAGATAATATAAAGAAAACATGATGAAAATTTTACATTTTTGTTTAGAAACATTGCTTGTTGCCAAATTTTAATCAAAATTGTTCCCTTATGTCAACAATATAAAAGTTGGGATCCATGCAAGTAATTAACGTACTTCTAATGCAGCAAGAGCTGCTTCTCTGCATATTAACTTTATGTCTGCCCCAGTGTAACCTTCTGTAAGCTGAGCAAGGTCCTTGATGCTAACATCAGAACTGCAAGGCATGTTCCGCATATGGATACGGAATATATCCTCCCGATCATTTTCATCTGGTGGCTGGACATCTAATAGCCTGTCAAAACGTCCTGTTCAAACTGGCACATATTAACCAGGCATGACAAAAATAATCCAGTACCTACCAAAAGAGCCAACAACTTCAAATGGAGAAGTTAGGGACCCAATTAGCAGGAGAGACCATTAACTAAGGGAAAAAAAAACCTGGCCGTAACAGGGCAGGGTCAATCTTGTCCGGACGATTAGTAGCTGCAATAACCGTAACACCAATTTTTTGATCCAAACCTGTGATAACAACAGTAAGCTTTTGTGAATAGGAGCTATAATAATGTCTTGCATTGAAAATGATGACAATGGATGAAACGCAAAATCAAATAATATAGGGGCCCTTGTAACTAATTCAATGATAGAATAATCCTGAACAATCTTGATCCATAGTTGGCTGTCCATCCAACAGGACTGTATAATAATATTACATATAGATGATAACCTACCATACATAGATTATAATGCCCATATGAGTAAGCCAAAAATGATTACATGTAATAGAAGGATATATATACTATACAAAAGTATACTTCTAGCAACTAAAAGAACATACATAGATTGTAGTGCCCATATGAGTAAGGCAAAAATGATTAAAAAATAGCAATGTTCTGCAGCACGGGTTAGTAAATCTAAACCCACTGCAGCCCAACTAATAATCATGTACGAAAATACACCAAAAATGATAACCAACCCACTAACTTTATATCCGACTGTAGAAAATCATAATCATTTTCTACAACTGACTAACAAAGAGAAAAAGTATCTGAAAGGGAGAAGATTTCTCAATTATCTAAATTCTCTTTGTAAATGAAGTGATTTTGAGAATAGTTCCAGAGAAACAAAAGATGCAGATGAAGATATATAGATCATTATGTTTTAAGCTTCAAACTAATCCTGTTCTCAGAATTTGCTGAATAATCAACATTTACTTACCATCCATTTCCACAAGCAACTGACTCAGAACCCTGTCAGCAACCGATGTACCATCACTGTCCTGCCCACGAGTAACTGCAAGGCCATCTATTTCATCAAAGAAAACTATTGCTGGAGAGTTAGCCCTTGCCTTTGCGAACAATGATCTTACTGCTTTCTCCGATTCTCCAACCCATTTGCTAAAGAGTTCGGGACCCTTCACTGCAAGAAAGTTTAACTTTGCCTCAGAAGCTACTGCAC